CCTGCCCCCGGGGTCCCCTGCCCCCCCCCCCCGGCCCCTGGCCCCCCCCTGCCCATGGGGCGCCCCAGCCGTGGGGGTCCCATCCTTCCCCCCAGGGGGGTGAGCAGAGGGGAGGTGGGAGGGCAGTGGGGAGGGGTGGGAGGAGCTAAAAGAGCCACTCCCCTTTGGGGTGGAGCTTGTCAGGTGCTCACCCCCTCTGGGGAGGAGAATGAAACCCACAGCCTGGGGAGGAGTGGCTTCGAGTGTCCCACCCTTTGGGGGTGGGTCTTGTGGGTACCACGCCCCCTTTGGGGGAGGGGCGTGGCCTACCAGAGCCCCGCCTGCCCCCCCGGCTGAGCCATGTGCCCGCAGATGACTTCGTGCTGCTGCTGTGCGCGGCTCAGCAGTGGCGGGGGGGTGAGGCTGAGCGCACCGAGGAGTGGCTGCGGGCGGCCGGCGAGAACACCGACCGGCTTGACCTCGTGCGGGACCCCCGCAACCCCACGCCCAACTTCATCCACTGCCGGTACTGTGACCCAGGGCTGGGACGGGCTGGGGCAGCCTAGGACCATGGGGATGGGACCCCACCGTGGGCTGGGGCTGCTGTGCGCTGTGGATGGGACCCCCAACCCTGGGATGGGACCCCAGCCCTGAGATGGGACCCCCACCTGGGATGGCACCCCTTGGGGTATGGACAGGATGGGACCCACAGGCAGTGGGACCTGCTGGGCTGGGATTCCCTAGGATGGGGATGGGACCCCACCAGCACTGGGACCCCTTTGGGCCAGGGAAGCCCCCCACACACACACTGGGCTGGGACAGGACCCCCCCCATGGCTGGAACAGGACCCCCTGCCACTAGGATGGTACCCCCACATCTGGGACAGGCGCACCCCGAGGCTGTGCTGGGACCCCTGGGGGAGATGCCGTGGTCCAGGACAGCCCTGGTGATGGTGCAGGACCCCCGTGGGCACTGGGACCCCATAGACTGGGATAAGGCACTTTGTCCCCCATGACAGGACTGATGCAGGGACTGGGACTGTGCTGGTTTGGCTGGGGTGTGGGGTAGCCCCTCGCTGCACCCCAAACCCAGGTGGTGCCAAGCGTGGGTGCTGGGAGGGGAAGGGGACCCTGCTCTGAGCACCCCATCCCACAGGTCGTACCTGGACATGGCGAAGGTGGTGGTCTTCCGCTACCTCTTCTGGTTCGTCCTGGTGGTGGTCTTCATCACCGGGGCCACCCGCATCAGCCTCTTCGGCCTCGGTTACCTGCTGGCTTGCTTCTACCTCCTCCTCTTCGGCACCGCCATGCTGCGCAAGCCGGCACGGGCACGCCTCGTGCTCTGGGACTGCCTCATCCTCTACAATATCACCGTCATCATCTCCAAAAACATGCTGTCGGTGAGGGCTGCTGGTCCCTGGCCATGCAGTGGCTCCTGGGCTGCTCCTTGGGGCCACCCACCCACTGGGCATCCCCTGGGGCGGGGATGGGTGGCAGTGCTGTCCCCCTCTCGCCGTCCCCGGGCAAACCCCGCGCTCTGCCTCTCTCCCTGCAGCTCCTCTCCTGCGTCTTCGTGCAGCAGATGCAGAGCAACTTCTGCTGGGTGATCCAGCTGTTTAGCCTGGTCTGCACCGTCAAGGGCTACTACGACCGTGAGTTGCTGGCCCGGGGGGTCTGAGGGTGCAGGTTGGGGCTGCTGCCTGACCTGCCTGCATCTCTGCCTGCTAGCCAAGGAGATGGGCAAGGACCAGGACTGCTCGCTGCCCGTGGAGGAGGCGGGCATCATCTGGGACAGCATCTGCTTCTTCTTCCTCCTGCTCCAGCGCCGCGTCTTTCTCAGCTACTACTTCTTGCATGTCATGCTGGACCTCCAGGCCTCTGCCCTGCAGGCCTCCAGGTGGGGCTGGGGTCCCGGAGGGTCCCCGTGGGTGCCGGGGTGCTGGTGCCCCCCTCACCCTCCCGCTGTGCCTGTCCCCGCAGGGGTGTCGCGCTGTTCAAGGCCAGCATCCTGAAGAGCATACGCTCCCACCGGCAAGCCGAGAAGAAGTCGCTGGCCCAGCTGAAGCGGCAGTGAGTGGGTTTTGGGGGGCCCCGGGGCCCCCCCATCCTGCAGCCACCAGCACCTTGGGGCACCCCTGTGTGGGTGGGGTGGATGGGGCTGCCCCCGGGGGGTTTGGGGGAGCGGGCTCCGCAGCAGCCTCTGCCTGGCAGGATGGAGCGGATCCGAGCCAAGCAGGAGAAGTACCACCAGGAGCGGCTGCCCGGCGGCACCGGCGAGGGGCAGGATGAGGGCAGGCCAGGTGAGAGCCGGGGGGTCCCTCCTGTCCCGCCCCCCCCTCTCCGGGCACAGCAGGGTGACTGCGACCCATCGCCGACGCCTGTGCTGGTGGAGCCCCACGGAGCATTGCGGTGAACCCCCCCCTCCCTGCCCCCTCGGCTCGCCCCTTCCGCAGGGGTGGGTGCACCGAGCGTGGCCGTGCTCAGCTCCCCCGTCTGCCGTTCCACAGCGCCCGGCGGCCCGGCGGACCCTTCCCGGCAGAGGGAGCGGTGGTGGCGGCCATGGTTAGACCACGCCGCAGGTACTGCCCCGGCATGGGGCCATAACAGGGCACAGCCCCTCGGCAAGGTCCCTCCGCCGGGGACTGCTAACACCCACGGGGAGCGGCGGTGACGGTGCTTTCGGCAAGGTGACACCCTGCATGTCCCCCATCCCCGTGCTCGGCCGCAGGGCACTAACCAGGGCTTCTTCGCTTCCCAGCACTAACGGGGTGTTGGACTGGGGGTGCCGGGCTGGGTTTGAGGTTACCAGCATCGGTTGCCTCCAAACGCCGGCACCGGAGGGACCCTGCTTTGGAAATGTGGGAGCTGAGTCTTTGTCCCCAGCGGAGATCCCCACGGGTGTCCTCGGCACCGTGGCGGCATTGCCGTGTCAGGCAAAGAGCCTTGGGGAGACGGCGGCTGTGCCGTGACACCCCGTGCCGTGCCACCAGGCACCGGCCATGCCACGCCACCCCGTGCTGTGGCACCGGCTGTGCCGTGACACCCCGTGCCGCCCTGGCAGTGCTGCATTCAGGGGAATACTTCCTCTTCGAGTCGGACAGCGAGGAGGAGGAGGAGGCAGTGGTGCCAGAGGAGCCACGGCCGGGCAGGCAGAGCGCCTTCCAGGTGAGCGTGGCTGGGGGGCTGGGGGGGGTCTGGCGGTGCCCAGGGGGTGCTGACAGCCCCTCTCCCCGCGCCAGCTTGCCTACCAGGCCTGGGTGACCAACACCAGGACGGTGCTGCGGCAGGGGGGGCAGGAGCAGCCAGAGCCACCCGGTGCCGAGGTCGCTGCAGGTGGGTCTGGCTCACCCCAAAATGGGGCTGGGGGGCCGGGAGGGGACGCAGCCCTGCCCCGTGCCCACTGTTTGCCCTGGCTGCTGTTGGCATCCCATAATGGAGCATCACCTCCGTGGGGTTTCCAGCGTGTGTGTGGACTCTCTGGTGGCTACGATGGGGTTGGGCACAAGCCGTGCAGGTCGTCTTTGGTGCCCATGCTGGTTTTTAAGCAGGATGGGGGGACAGGGAACAGGGCGATGAGTGGGAGAGCCCCAACGGGGGCCAGAAACGATGTCCATCCACTGCTGAGCCAGTGCTACCTCTTCCCGGGAGGGTCTGACGCGCTCTCTGCCTTGCAGGAGACAGCAGAGGGAGGGAGGAGGAGTTGCAGGCACCCGAAGAGGCTGAAGGTCAGGAGGAAGAGGAGGAGGAGGGCTCCGGTAGGTGGGTGGCAGGACTGCGGTGCAGGGGGATGCTGGGGAGGTCCGAGTAGGCGCGAAGTGACCCCCCCCGCCCTTGCCCTGGCAGAGCGGAGCAACGTGGTGCAGCGGGCGCTGAACACCCTGAGGTTCCTGTGGGTGCTGTGCCGGGCCATGGTGGACGGGCTGACCCAGTGGCTGGACGCCTGCACCCGGGAGCACGCTGACATGTCCACCGTGCTGCGCCTCGAGAGATACGTCCTCACGCGCCGGTTGGCCACGGTGAGCCCTGGGGGGGACATTGGGGCGCGGGGGCGGGTGGCAGCCCCGCGGTGACACTGACCCCCTGCCCGCTGCAGGGAGAGGACATGCACCGCGGGGTCCTGGATGAGCTCTACCTGCCACCACCAGAGGAGCCCCCCGAGGAGCTGAGCCCACGGGGGGCCAGGGGTGCGGACCCCCAAAACGGCGTCGCTTCCAGGCAGGTGCATAGATACCCCCCGAGGGGGCAGCTGGCAGCGCCGCAGGCAGGGGCCGGCGGGCAGGGGGCTCACCCCTGTCCCCGTGCCGTCCCCAGCGGGCACCAAGGAGCCGCCCCCACCCCGGCGGGATGCCCGCTGCCCACCGGCCGCCCGAAAAGCAGGTACGGGGCCTTGAGGGGACGGTGGGGCTGGGGCTGGGGGCAGCGGGGCCGGCTCTCCCCCCCTGCGCCCGTAGGCGGCTGTACTTCCCCGAGCTGGAAGAGTCGGAGCAGTTTTATCAGTCCCACAACCGGTTCCTGAAGCTGCTGCTGGCCGGGTACCGCTGCGTGGCCGCCCACTCCGAGCTGCTCTGCTACTTCATCATCATCCTCAACAACATGGTGACCGCCTCCGTCATCTCCCTCTTTCTGCCCATCCTCGTCTTCCTCTGGGCCATGCTCTCCATTCCCCGGCCCAGCAAGCGCTTCTGGATGACCGCCATCATCTTCACCGAGGTGGGCAGGGGGTGGCCGGGGAGGGGACGATGCCGCCCAGCCCCTGGCTGCCACCCACTGATCCCAACATCCCCGCAGGTGATGGTGGTGGTGAAATACCTCTTCCAGTTTGGGTTCTTCCCCTGGAACGGCTACGCCATGCTGGTACGCAACGAGGGCAAACCCTTCTTCCCGCCCCGCATCCTGGGCTTGGAGAAGACTGACCGCTATATCAAGTACGACCTCATCCAGCTCCTGGCGCTCTTCTTCCATCGCTCCCTGCTGCTGGTGAGCCCCGGGGCACGGGCACCACTGCGGGGATCGCCTGGGTGGGCGTCCCCGGGAGCTGGAGGTGCTCCTGGGGGTGATGGGGGCTCTGGAGAGCACCCAGTGGGTGCTTGGTGGCTCTGCTTTGGTTTCCACACAAGGCACCCATCGCTGGTTGGGTCCCTGGGGTGCAGCGGGAGCCGATGCTGCGGGATGGGGGGGTGAGGTTCCTGGGGTTGGGGGCATCAGGACCCCCGTCCCCCTGACCACGCTCCTCCCCAGTCCTACGGACTGTGGGACCACGAGGAGGACCCCTTCCCTAAGAAGAAGGCGGAGGCGGAGCGGGCGGAGGATGAGGAGGAGGAGGAGAAGCGGGAGGAAGCAGCATCCCTGCCACTGGCAGTGGGTGAGGAAGGGACGGAGGCGCTGGCAGAGCCGGGGGCACCGGGCGCAGCTGCGGGGCCAGAGCCGGAGCCGGAGGGCGATGCCGTGGGGCAGGAAGAGGGGGCCGGGGCCACGCAGCTCCGCTTCAGGAGGAAGAGGCGGCGGGGGAAGAAGCAGCTGGAGGCGGCTCCGGAGCAAGGTGAGTGCCGGTTCCCGGCCCTCGTGCCCCGGCGAGGGGCAAGGCTGGCGTCCCCCAGGGCGGAGGGGTGCTGGGGCTGGGCAGGATGACACCCCGCAGGATCCTGGGCTGTCACCCATGCTGTGCCTCACTTGCAGGGGATGGGGAGGAGGAGGAGGAGGAAGAGGAGGAGGAAGAAGAGGCAAAACAGAGCCATGCTCAGAAGAAGCTGAAGGCGTTTGGGCTGCGGGTCAAGCTCTTCTTCCTCACCATGTGAGTGCCCCGCGGTGCGGGTTGGAGTGGGGGCTGTGGGGTGCAGCCCCCCGGTCACCCGTCCCCTCTGTCCCTTGTCCCCTCCAGGGCGCAGAACATGTACCAGCCGGTGCGCAGGTTCTTCTGGGACATCCTGCACACCCAGCACCGGGCGGCCACCGACGTCTACGCCTTCATGTTCCTGGCCGACGTGGTTGACTTCATCATCATCATCTTTGGCTTCTGGGCCTTTGGGGTGAGCACGGCGTTCCCACAGGGCACCGACTGGCCGGCTCCCACTGCGGAGTCAGGCCGGGTCGCATCCTGACCTCTCCGGCATCCCCAGAAACACTCGGCAGCCGCTGACATCACCTCCTCGCTGTCGGATGACCAAGTGCCAGAGGCCTTCCTGGTCATGCTGCTCATCCAGTTCACCACCATGGTCATCGACCGCGCGCTCTACCTCCGCAAGACCGTGCTGGGCAAGCTCATCTTCCAGGTCATCCTGGTCTTCGGCATCCACCTCTGGATGTTCTTCATCCTGCCGGCCGTCACCGAAAGGTACCAAGCGTCCCCCCAAGGATGTCCCCAAGGGCATGGCGTGGTCCTAGGGTGGCACCTTTGTGTCCCCAAGCCCATGTGGTGGCCCAGCCTTGCCAGAGGGGTGACACCTCCCTCCCGCAGGTTGTTCAGCCTCAACACAGTGGCCCAGCTCTGGTACTTTGTGAAGTGCATCTACTTCTCACTGTCGGCCTACCAGATCCGCTGCGGCTACCCCACCCGCATCCTGGGCAACTTCCTCACCAAGAAATACAACCACCTCAACCTCTTCCTCTTCCAGGGGTACGGCATGGGGCCACACGGACCCCCGGGTGCCCGGAGGGTGCTGTACCAGCCCCTCTCCCCGTATCCCCCCCAGGTTTCGCCTCGTGCCCTTCCTGGTGGAGCTGCGGGCCGTCATGGACTGGGTCTGGACGGACACCACGCTGTCCCTCTCCAACTGGATGTGCGTGGAGGACATCTATGCCAACATCTTCATCATCAAGTGCAGCCGTGAAACAGAGAAGGTACGGCCCCGCTGTGCTGGGAAGGGCCCCCCAGTAAGCTCCTTGTTGCTTGGGGTCCCCCCAAGCCCAGCTGGCACCCTCTGTTGTCTCCCCCTTCCCAGAAATACCCCCAGCCCAAGGGGCAGAAGAAGAAGAAGATCGTGAAGTACGGCATGGGGGGCCTCATCATCCTCTTCCTCGTGGCCATCATCTGGTTCCCGCTGCTCTTCATGTCGCTGGTGCGCTCTGTGGTGGGCGTTGTGAACCACCCCATCGACGTCACCGTCACCCTCAAGCTGGGGGGGTACGAGGTGAGGATGCGGGGTGATGGGGTGCTCAGCGTGGATGCCGGGGTCCCCTGCCCGGCTGATGGCACTCTCTCCCCCCACAGCCGCTGTTCACCATGAGTGCCCAGCAGCAATCCATCCAGCCCTTCACCCCCCAGGACTACGAAGCCCTCACCAAACAGTTTGAGAGGCAACCGGTAAATCGCCCCTCCGCAACCCCCCCCCGCTCCATCCCGCTGGATGCCCGGGGGGGGCTGGCAGAGCCGGGGGTGCCCCGGGGTAGGGGTGTCCTTGGGTGGGGGGGGCTGAGCTGTGTCCCCCCCGGTACCAGGTGGCCATGCAGTTCATCACGCTGTATGGCTACGAGGACATCGTGACGGCCCGCATCGAGGGCAGCTCGGGCTCGCTCTGGAGCATCAGCCCCCCCAGCCGGGAGCAGATGCGGCGGGAGCTGCAGAACGGCTCCTCCGACATCACCCTGCGCCTCACCTGGACCTTCCAGAGGTACGGCCGGCACGGTCGGGGTGGGGGCAGCCCTGCCTGCACCCCCCCCACATACACTGAGCCTCTGCTGCCTGCTCTGCCCACAGGGACCTGGGCAAGGGGGGGACGGTGGAGCACACCTTCGACAAGCACACCACCGACCTGCAGCCCGGCGCGCCCCAGCGCATGGAGCTGGCCCAGCTGCTGCAGGGCACCCGCGACACCCCCGTGTGAGTGTCCCTGGGGAGGGGACGGGGGGCCAGACCCCCCCCCCTTCAGGCTCGTCGGGACAGTGCCCGCCGCTCACCCCGCTCTCTTGCAGGCAAGTGCCGAAACTCTTCCCCAAATACATCCGAGCGCCCAACGGCCCCGAAGCCAACCCTGTCAAGCAGCTGCTGCCAGGTGGGTCCCACGATGCATGCCCCACCCCCCCCCACACACACGTGGC